AAGGTGCCCCCAGCTGTGGGGCCTCCTTGGAATCCCCGGGGGCACTTCAGGCCAGGGACACCTCTGGAAATGTCCTGCCATTTCCTACTACCCCCTGTGGTCACCCCCCCCCTTCAGGCTCGGAAACCGGGGGGGGGGTGACGCGGAGGGGGGAGGGGGGGCGCCCCATCTGCCCTCGCCCCGATCCCTCTGGCATCGCCGGCCGCTCGGAAGAGGCTTGGCCAGGAGCATGGAGTAGAAAGCCGACTGGCAGAATGGGTTTCCGTAGGAAGCAAGGCTCTGGGAGAGCCAACGAAAAAAACCTGACGCCAACGGCCTGTGGTTTCTCGGAGCCTGGGGGCCGCTTCCGGGCCCCAGCTCCCGCAAAGAGCGGCCCGCGACGCTGAACAGCGCGCAGGGCATGTGGTCGAGAACTCGAGGGCCTACGTCAAGAGGACATCAGCACGCAGGCGATGCCGAAGCCTGGGGCGGGCCCGCGGGGAGCAGCCGCCTGGACGGGACCCCAGCCCTCCCGGAAGCCAAAAGCACCGCCCTCCTCTGCCGATGCCTGCCTATGAAGACACCCTGCTTGGCCTCGGGGGGGGGAGGAGGTCTTTCTCGGGCGCTGCGTTTTACCGCGGCGGGGACGTGGCACCCTCGACCCCGACCTCCGGGCGGGCCCCTCGTCGCGGGCAGGCGTCTGCGGGCCCCGCGGGCCCCCGGGGAAGAGATGCTAGATCTCCTTCGGCCCTCGGAGGCGAGGCGTTTCTCCCTGGACCGCCGCCCCCCTCCGCGGCGGTGGGCGTCCGGGCCCCCCCCCGCCCAGGGCGGCACGACCGACCGCGGAGATGTAGACGTCTACGCTGCCGTGTTTCCGGGCGGCCTCCTCCTCCGTCAGGCCGCAGCTGCCGATGGGCGGCTGACCTCGGCTGCGGGGCCGCGACCGCCGATCGCAGGGCCTCCCCACCCTCGCCCGCGCTGCCCGATGTAGGGGCCCCATGCAGCGGCCTCGCCTGCATTACCAGCCCCCTCTGCCAGAACGCTGAACCCGTCAACGACAGGTGTTTGCCTGACCGCGCTGCCGGGGTGAGCTTCGGGAGCCTCCAGGACCTGCTCGCTGTTTTGGGGCAGTGCCCGGCCAGCCGCCCCGCCCTGGACTCCTCAGAGCGCATGCCAGCGCCAACCCCGCCGCACCCTGGTTCGATGGTCGCGTCACCACTCCCGCTGGCTGCCCGTGTAAGCCCGTGATGCGGCACGCGCGCAGTAATTTCGTGGTCTTAGCGTGTTGCCTCCGCGCTGTTCCTGCTCGTGCTGTGCTTCATGTGGCCCCAAGGCGTCCCCTGGCTGCCCCGACCGCGTCTTGGACACAAGTCGCCGCGACGACATGAAAAAACAGCTCCTGCGTGCGTTCGACCACCAGGACCTTCCAAGGCGACGCTGGAAGGGCAGCTAGAGCCCACGCAGACTGCGCGCTGTCGATGAAACGGAAGGGGGCAAGCACACACACATATATATATATATATATATATATGCGCGCAAACACGAACACACACTCACACACACATACATACATACACACATGAACACACACATACACACATACACATACACATACAGGCAACACACACACACACACAACACACACACACAACACACACAGCACACACACACACGCACAAACACGCACACACACACACACGAACACACACGAACACACGCATACACGCACACACGCGCACAGACGCACCCACACACACACACTCACACGAAGATACACACACGCGCGCACACACACGCGCACACACACACACACACACAAACAAGCACTCCCATACGCACATACGCGCACATGTGCACCCACACACATGAACACGAAGACACACACACACACAGAGACACGCACTCCCACACGCACGCACACGCAACCACGAACACACGCACACATACACACATACACACACACACACACACACACACGCGCGCGCGCAAACACGCGCACACACAAACACACACACACACACACACGCACACACACACGCGCTTACACACACAAACGCACACACACACACACACACACACACACAAACACACACACACGCAAACACGCGCGCACACACACCTACACACGCACACAATATACACACAGCACACAAAACACATATATATATATACTGCACGCACACACAGGCACGCAGGCAGGCAGGCAGGCAGGCAGGCAGGCAGGCAGGCAAGCAGGCAGGCAGGCAGGCAGGCAGGCAGGCAGGCACGTTCGCACACACACACACACACACACACACACACACACACACACGCGCGCGCGCGCACGCACACACACACACACACACATACACACACACACGCACACACGCACACACGCACACACACACACACACACACGCACGCACGCACACTTGATATGAGTTGGTTAACCTAGTGGGATTATGTCTTGCGGGTCCGTCAAAACGTCTCTTTTTTAAACAACCAATATTTTGAGGTTCCGTGCAGCACACCCGCAACGCTGCGTCATCATCGTGTCGTAGATCCAACACCTCATATACATAAGACGGCTCTGGTTGCACCAGCGTGAGCTCACGCACTTCACTACTTCGAGATCGCCCACATCTATCCACTGGGGCGCTCCGTCGGAGACAGACGCGTCTTCACGCACACAGTTGGGGCCCCCCCTCCAGGAACCGTCATCCCATCACTGGTTTGGGAATATCGCAATTCAGCTACAACAAATACGACAAGTATGACAGCGTTTTGCCACCGAAAAGTTTGGAAATACCGAGTATGGAAGAGGGGAGTCTGGATGTGGTTATTCCAGGGTGTTGCGCACATGGCCAGCGCCGGTAAGTGCTCCACTCTTCCTGGTACCCATTCCATGAGTTCGTTACTCAATTTGAATTAGGTCCTGCAGGCCCCCAAACCCCCAGCTCTGGAGGCTTGACGTGAAATGAGCTACGGCGAATCGCGTGGCTTCGAGCGGGCTTCACATTCAAACAAACACAAAATCTGCCAACTGGCAAACACAATCAATACGTCAACCAGCAAGCACATGCTTTATACTGTGGGTGAATATGCTGGAGCACCCTCGTTGCGCGCGACGTCTGTCCGATGGGGACAGCCGCAAGGAGAGAGAAAGAGAGAGAGAGAGAGAAACAAAACAAAAAAAAAACGGAGGGGGAGAGAGAGAGAGAGAGAAAGGCAGCCAGGGACATAGAAGCTCAAATCATAAACACATCTGAGGAACGTCTATAAAGTCTGATGTGCCCTGCTCGCTTGGCCCCGTTGGATTGTCAATCTGGAGACCACGCACACACGCACACACCCACAGGCAGACAAGCACACACACACACACGGACACACACACACAGGCACACAGGCACACAGACACGCAGTCATATAGACAGAGAGAGACACACACACACACACACACACAACAAAAAAAAACGCTTTGGACGAACACGCGTCCTGAGGATTACCGAACATGGCGCTCCCACATTTGGTGGACCCTAGAGACCCAGACATCCGACGTCCTGTTTTTTTCGGCACGGGGTCCACAGAAGCCCCGACCCGCTCCCCAAGGCCAGCCTTTCTTCCTGAGAGCCGTTTTCACCGTCGAAAGCGGCCCAAAAACGTTCCCGCATGTCCTTTTGTCGCGACGCTCATATGTCTGGGGACCTCTCGACTCCTTCCGCCCGAGGCCAGCTCTTCGCCCCAAGCCGCCCTATACTGACAGCACCGCCGGCCCGAGGAAGCAGCCTGGCCTCGGTGGGGCACTCCGCGAGATGACGGCCAGCGGGCCGCCTCGATTCGTCATCGAGGCGCAAGATGACGCGAGGACGCTCGTGATTGTCTGCGCGACGTCGCGAATGTTTCGCAACTGGCGTGTTGGCCTTGTTTCGGGCCCCAGGACCCTCCCAGATCGATCCAGCCTGAGAAAGGCAGCAGACAGATGGGGTCTAGGCATCCCTTCGCGATTCCTCGCGATGTCGAATCCTTTTTCCCAACGTCGGATCTCAAGGGAGGGGCAAGCGTCAGCGGGTGACGGGCTTCGGGGGGGCAACGTCGACCTCGAGTCGGCGAGATGCATCGCTGATGGATCGGCGACGGGCCCCCGACGGCGAGCCCTCGCGCTCCTGGGGCGGGGTGGGCTCTCTCGGGCCCCGATCGGCGATGCATGCGCCACCGGGCGTCGCCGCATCCCCCCTGGAGCCAGGCCCCCCCCCCCCCCGCCCGTGTCGTTGACCCTGGTCATGGGCCAATCGGCCACACGCAGTAGTGGACCCTGGGCGCGGCGTCCGGGGCCCCGCGGGGGGGATCCAAAAGCAAGCGCGCAAGACGCCACCGCCGCCTCGCGCTCGGCGATCGGGGGATCCCAGCGGGTCCGCACCAGAGGTCACTCCGGCGAAAGGTCACTCTTTAAGTCTAGTCGAGTCAGCAATCGCCCCGTGGACCTCTCCAGTGAGCGAACCTCGGAGCTCGAGCCTCGAGCCCCTGCCTCGGGGCAGGGCGAGTTGAGATAGCGGTGGGCATGTGGCCTATGCCTCAGGGCCTGGCCTTCGAGACGCAGGCAGACGCTGCCCTCAAACTCGAAGAGGCCCTGGGACACACAAATACATACACACAAAACAAAAGGATTCCCCATATGTTCCGATATTTTCTCGGTTTTTGTCTTCCCCCCCACTTCCCATATTTTCCTACATTTTCTGGGGAATCGACGATTCATTGTGTCTGTGTGTTTTTTCCCCTCCTGAAAACTCCTCTCCCCCATCCCCCCGCAGGGCCGCCGTCCCGAGCCGGCCACGGGCGGAGAAGCCGACCTGCCCCCCGCGCGATCGGTCTGGCAGGCCCCGGCGGACGATCGCTGGACGACGGTCGACCGTGCGGTGGCCGCCGACGACGATGCGACGGCGACGACGACGCCGACGCCGACGCCGACGCCGACGCCGACGACGCCGACGCCGACGACGACGACGACGACGACGACGACGACGACGACGACGGGCGGCAGGGGCCCAAGGCGGCCGACTGAACACAGCGCTGGGCACCCCGGTGTGGTCGGGCTCTGCCGGGCCAGCGTCGCCGAAGAGGGTCTTGGCCATGGCCATCCCCTCGCTCGGGCGGGGAGGGGCCGGGACCTCCCCTGAGCTCCGGCGATGCAAGGAAAAGCGGCAGCATTCACAGAAAGCCGCGACTGGGGCCCCAGACCCCAGCTTTCCGCCGCATTCTCCGAGCGGGATGGATCTGCGAGGGTCCCAGGGCCCGAGACAGGGTGAAGTCGCCCAGCGCGGGAAACATGCGACGCCATGATCTCAGGGTTCCACGTCTGGAAAAACAAAATGAGACGAAGGTGTTCGTAGTTTTCAGATCCTAGGAAGCCGTTCTCGGGCTCCGCGACAATGAAAAACGATATGGGAAGAGAAAACTGTCCCCAGGAAGTCGTCGAGATGTCCAGGGGCCCCGTATTGAAAGGCGTCGGAGATCAATCGATGATCGAAGATCGATCCTCTAAACCTGCTCCTCTTCCCCCTCCTTGTACCTTCGTTATCCGCCCCCTCCCGCTGGGAGGGAGGGGGAATCGAGTATTTGGGACGATTGGGGTTCGAGGTTCGCGGATCCATGAATCGTGAATGTTGGGCGACTGGGGAATTCTTTCTGTTGGAAGATTGGGGATCGAGGAGGATCGAGGACCAAAGGCAGTTGTTTAGGACGACTGGGGATCTAGGTTTGGGGATCGAAGATCGCGGTGTCGGCAAGATTGGGGATCGAGGCTGCTGGGCGATTGATGATCGATGATCGACGATTTCGGGCAATTGCGGATCGAGGTTCGTGAACCCCTGGTCGGGGAGGTTCGAGGCCTTTTTGGGGGGGCGTTGGAGGGGGTCTGCTTGGGCCTCCTGGGGCGCCATCGTCGCCACGGCTGGATTCGCCACAAACTTCTGGCCAAGATGCTTCTCGAGACAAATCTGGAGGTCGATGCCGGTTCACCCTCCAAGAAGGGAGGGAGGACGAAGGAGGGAGGGGGACAAGAAGAAGCGAAAAAGGTTGCTCATCAGGCTTTCCCCAGGTTCTAAGGAGTTCTGGGCGTCCTGTTTGGCTTCTGGGGATGCTGTGGGGCTCTGGGGGAGGGGGGGAGAGAGGAGGGAGAGGCAGAAGGACCTCCATCAGAGCCACGGGGGTCAGGTTGATGCGATCGGTGACGTCGCCGATGGCGAAAATGGAATCCACACTGGTCCGACTGTACTTGTCAACCAGCACGCGCCCCGTGCGCTTGTCTAGCTGTACGCCCGCCTCCTCCAGGCCCAGGTCTGCGCTGTTCGGCCTCCGACCGGTGGCGAACATGACGTTATCGACGAGCAACGTCGTGCCCTTGTCGGTCGTCAGCTGCAGCTTCCCGCCGCTCTCTTCTATGGAGAGAGGGTTCTCGCCTGCATGCACATGGATGCCCCTGACCTTCAAGAGCTCGAAGAGGTGGTCACGCACGTCCTGGTCGAACCCACGCAGAGGCTTGTCGGCTCGGAAGATCAAGTGGACCTCCGAACCGTAGCCATGGAAATAGCTTGCGAACTCGACTGCGATGTAACCTCCCCCCAAGACCACGAGCTTCTCTGGCTTCTTTTCTGGAGGTTGGAAAGGAGGGTGGCACAAAGGGGTGTGGTGCCAATCACGGAAATGGCGATGCTATCTACGAACGATAACCTCGCCAGATCCAGCTTTGGCACCACGCCCCTTTACACCACACCCCTCTCCTACATCCAGATCTTTGTCAGAGTCAAAGCCTCATCGCTTGTGATGGTCCCGGGCAGATCGCATCCGGGGATGGACAATCTGACAGCGCGACCCCCAGTGGCGACGCAGATGTGCTTGGCGGTGAAGCGCTTGCCTTGGGTCGGGCATGTCCTCCTACAGGCAGATTTTGGAGGAAAAAGAGAATTCATTGACACATAAAAATCAAACAAATCAAACTATTCAAAAACCCTCCCCAGACTGTGTTTAAACTATGTTTTAATATTCCTCCTGTAGAGGGACAGGCCCGACTTAACGCTTGCCGTCGACGTCCACAGTGTGGGGGTCGACGACCCTGGCGTAGCCCTCGTAGAAGTCCACCCCAGCGCTGCTGAGCAGCCGCGAGTAAATGCCGTTCAGGCGCGTCACCTCCGCGTTCTTGGCGGCGACCAGCCTGTCCCAGTCCAGGCGCGGCTCCGCGCCCTCCGGCAGGGACCAGCCGTAGCCCGCCCCGTCCCGCAGGTCCTCGTGGAAGTGGGAGCCGTAGATGAAGAGCTTCTTGGGCACGCAGCCCCGGATGACACAGGTGCCCCCAAGGCCGCCAGCCGTGTACTTCGAGCTCACCATCTGGAAGGGCAGCTCGGCCAGGGCGGTCTTCGCCCCATACTGCGCCGCTGCCCAGCGCGTCCCGCGGACGCCGCCGCTGCCACCGCCGATAGTGAACAGGTCGTAATCGTACTTGTCTTTAGCGGCCGGCTTCTGTCAGGTCGGAGGAAGTGGGGGCGGGGCAGCACAGGGGAGGGCAGCGAGTCAGCTCAAGCAGCCGGCTCTCACAGCGCCTCCCGACGCGGGAGGCGTCAGCGCGCCGAGGAAGGCCCCGTCGCCGCGGCGGGGCCGAAACGAGCTGCGTGCAGCAGACTTCGTACCCCCCACCCCTCTCCCAATCCACCCCTTCCGTCCGTCCCGATTCTGCGCGCACGCACACCGGGAGCTCAGGAGACCGAGCGGGGCCGCCACCAGGACGTGCGGCGCCCCAGTCCGGGAGAAGGCCCGCCAGGCATGGGACATCCTGCAGTGGGCGCAAGCTGCTCGAGACGAGACGTCTGCGCTTTTGCGGGCGGGGGGGGGGACCGGGAGAGGGACGGCCCAAGGGGCGGGGGGGAGGGGACGGGGGGCGGAAAAGGACACGGGGGGAGGTGGGAGGGGAGAGTGGCGGGGGGGTGGACCAGAGGCAAGCTAGGTGCACTCGCGCCATGTCTGACATCCTGCCGCTCCCGCCCATCCAATCGCATTGCGCTGAATCCCACCAGCCCTCTGGGCGTAGGTGGTTTAGGGCGTTTCCTCTTGCTCGTCCACCCCTCCCTCCTCCCCTTCGGGGAGGGGTTTATCACTGTTCCCTATTAATAAACACCCCTCCCCCAGGCGACTGGGGGCCAACCCAGGTCCATGACGACACCCCCCCACAATCCCTTGTAAAAAACATACAAAACACACTCTGCATCCAAATTCGGAACATGCGCAGCCAACCCGATGCGCCCCCCCCACCATCCCTGTCAAAAAACAATACAGAGTACACTTGGCGGCGGCGGCGGCTGCGGCGGCGGCTGCGGCGGCGGCGGCGGCTGCGGCGGCGGCGGCGGCGGCGGTGGCGGCGGTGGCGGCGGCGGCGGTGGCGGTGGGTGCGGCGGCGGCGGCGGGCGGTGGCGGGCGGTGGCGGGCGGCGGCGGTGGCGGTAGCGCAGCGGCGGCGCGGCGGCGGCGGCGGCAGCGGCGGCGGCGGCGGCGGCGGCGGCGGCGGCGGTGGCGGCAGCGGATTGGCCCCCAGTAGCTACCCATCCAAAGGCGAGTGCTGAATATGCTGAGGCTCGGGCCAGACTCGGGTGCTACGTATGTGTTGGGAGGGGGGTGGGACTGAGCGAGACGGCTTGCGGGCGGGGGGGGTGTCTTGACCCCTCCCCCTTACCCCCTCCCCTGAACCTGGACGGGGCGTTTCGCGAGTCGTTGGAGCGTCGAAGATGGCCCAAGATGGCTCCTAGAGGGCCTCAGAGAGCCCAAGATTACCTCCAAGATTGCCCAAAATATCCCAAGATGCCTCAAGATGGCTCCCAAGATGCTCCAAGAGGCCCCAAGACAGCTTCAAGACGGCTCCGAGCGGCCACGGAGCCTCTCCAGGAGGCTGCCAAGAGGCCAAAATCCTTCAAAAACCTTAGGAAAATCAATGAGTTGTGCCTTATCGCCTTTTCGCTTCCGATGGCCTTCCGAGGCCTCCAGACAGATCCAAGAGGGCCCATGATGGCACCAAGAGAGGCCTCAGAGAGCCCCAAGACGGCCCCAACAGCGCTCAACGGGCGGCAACGACGAGGACTCTGACCGACGGGAGCCAACACCGACCCTGAAATGTGGGTAACTCTGCACGGGGAGCGTCGATTTGAAGTTCCGATAACAGTCCGACTGCTTATATAGCGATGTGTGTATCCATATGAAATTGTATATATCTATGTATGTATACAAATGCAAACATGTGTAAGCATACGTCCTTACACCCATGCAGCCACCCATACACCAACCTAACAATGTACATACATGCATATGCAGGCATATGTGTTCAGCATGTGTAAAAACATGTACATCCATGCCTGCATGTAGACTTATCGAATCATGTACGTATTTGCACGTAAAACATCACTGACGGTTTCCGATGTGCGTGTGAAAAAGTGCACGGGAGAGGCGGCGCCAGCACTGCACATGACAAGGGGAGGAGAGAATGGAACTCATGTTGAATCTGTGTGGAGAAGGGAGGGGATGGACAGAGCGGAGGGGAGAGAGGTGGTGAGAGAAAAGAGGTGGGGAGAAGAAGCTCCCTCGTACTTGCTTTCTTGTCTGCAATGAGACACACGTGCTGCAACACGCCGCATATGCGTGCTGCCCGTGTGACTGCGTCTGCGCAAGGCCATACAGCTTTCAAAGGTCCCCCATTGAGCTTACAATGCCTTTTCCGTCTCTTCGAAAGTACGACCACACACGTCTGAGGATCCTGACGGATTCCCAAGGGACCTCAGTTGTTTCCAAGGGCCCGCAAGGAGTTGAAGGAGTCCCCAAGGCTGGGACGGCCCAGGATTATTCGAGGACCTTCCGCTGTCCCCAAGAGCAGTGGGGGATCGGCAGGGGCCTCTGAACGAACTCTCAAGAATCCTTAGTGGCATTGAGGGATGCTCAGAGCTTCAATGATCCTCACGGGCCCCAGATGAATCCTGAAGGATGCTCTAGGACCGTCCAAGATCGTCAAAGGCCCATCTGGAATCATCAGCACCCTTGAAGGACACCCAGAAAGTCTTCAAAGAACCCCGAGGACCTTCACGGATCCCAAGCGACTTCGAAGAACATCCAAACACCATCTAAGGCTCACGCTCATTCTACTGATGGTATTAGATTGACAAGGGACCGCTTCGGTCTTTAATGTCAACCAGATGGTATTATGTGTTCGGTGGTCGGTGTGGTCGGTGATGAGTGTTTGTTGCTGTGTGTGTTGGCGATTGGTGTTATGCATTGTGTGATTGGTGTTGTGTTAGTGGTGTTTGGTGTTGTGCTGTCTGTTGTGTGTTTGGTGTTGTGTGCTTGTGGTGGGCGCTTGGAGTTGTGCTGTGGAATTTGTGTGGTGTTTGGGATTTGGGGGTGTTATTTGGTACTTGCTGTTTGGTGGTTTGACTGTTTAGTGGTTTGGTGGTTTGGCGCCTGGTGCTTGGTGTTTGGTTGCTGGTGTTTGTTGTCTGATGGTTGATGGTTTGGTACTTTGAGTATGGCGCTCAGTGGTTGAGTGGTTCAGTGTTCGGCGACTTGGTGGCCTGGCGATCGGCAAATCATTCCAACCAGGGTTTGTACGGCTGAAGGCAGGATTGGTACTAATCAGCACAGACTGCGTCTAGCAGCGCAGGATTAAACTAACATCGGATCCTTCCACCGAAGTCTCCAGAGGGTCTGCGGAGGTTCCCAGAAGTCCCATGAGGGGCTAGTTTGCCGCCATGTTTGGCCTATGTAGGCCGTGTTCGGGCATCAGGGCCATCGAAAAAACAACTCGGGAAGAGACACCGGCCCTGCGGTAGGGGGTCGAGAGCCCCGGAAGTCCACGCATCGAACAGAATCGAACCGCTGGATGTCTAGGTCTTTGACAGCAGCGCCAGAACATCGCTTCTCGATCCTCGAGCGAGCCCCCCTTCGTGGCGAAAGATCCGCAGAGGCCTTCAGGGTGAATTCCAGTCGTCCTCCTCCGAGCTCATTTGAGCCCTAGTTTAAAAAAATGTCTTCACGTCCCTCCGTCCACTTCACCCTCCCGCCAACCAACTCGTATCCGAAGACCTTGCTGAAATAGGACCGTTGTTGAAATGGGGCCAAAGGGTCGGCGGCGAGGCGTCAGACATTGATTCGCTTCTCGATCCTCGATCCCACCCTTCGTGCTCGCACGCGTCTGCCCCCTTTGCCCAGGAGGGAGCGAGGCCAGGTCCTTGCCGCCCTTGCGAGAGAACAGCCGTTCGCGCTGCTCCTGCACGGAAGGGTGGTGGTGGTGGTGGTCGTCGTCGTCCGCGTCGATGTCGTCCGCGTCGTCGGCGTCGACGTCGTCGACTTCGCCTTCGTCGGCGTCGTCGGCGTCGGCATCGGCGGAGGAGGAGGAGAAAGACGAGGAATAGTGCGGAGAGGGACGAGGAGAAGGAGGAGGAGGAGGAGGAGGAGGAGGAGGAGGGAGGAGAGAGGAGGGAGGGAGACGGAGCAGGAGAAGGACGAGAGGAAGTGTAAGGAGGGTTAGGGGCTGAGGGTGGCTCTGAGGACCTTAAGATATTCTAGATGGCACCTGGAGGCTCTACGGCGGAGGGACGAGGTGGTGGAGTGAGGAGTGCGCGACTGGCCAGAGCGGATCATCACTCTCAACTATACCCCATGATGTCGGAACCGGATCGGCAGGAAATTCGACAAAATCAGCTGACACATCGAATCGGCAAAAATCAAGCCGAGCGAAGCCGAAACCGCAATCGCGCATCGGAATATCCGCATCCAGTGGGATCGAATCGGAGCCTTGGAAATCTTTTCGAATCGACCCGGCGGGGTCGGAAAGCGCCCTGCATGCTGCAAGCCACTGGCCAGACTCGCTTCAGGAACGGCCCCTGTCGCCCAACCGAGGCTCCCAAACCCTTGCAGGGATGGAGCATTGACCCTCGTCACTGACGATCTTTCTTTCTCTCTCTCTCTCTCTCTCTCTTGGTCTCTCTGCTTCTCTCTCCCTCCCCATATATACATATCCATATGCAAATATAGGTGTACGTGTGTATGCGTGCTTGTGTATACATACGTATAAATATGTATGTGTGTATGCACACACCTATATATATATATATATATATGTATGTATGTATGTATACGTGCACACGTATATACAAGTATAGTTTATACATATATATATACACATCTACAAAATATATACACATATGACGTATGCATTTGCCTCTACACATCTGCGTGCAGCTCAACTGTGTAATCCGTTTCCTGCTCCTCTCTGTCGATGAAGTGTTGGAGTTTCTGTGCCTTCCCCTCTTGCTCAGCGCAGGCCACCTCACCCCCAACCCTCCAGTATTCCTCCAGCCATCGCATCCTTCTCCTCCTTTTCCTCCCCATCCGCCCTCCACCCTTTGCCATAGACATTGTCCTCCATCCTTCTCGCCATCCTACTGCCTCTTCCTCCCCCCCGCCCCCTCCCATCTCCTCCTCCTCCTC